TGCATTCTTCCCTAGGTTTATCCCTTTAAATCCCTGAAGGGCAAACAAAAACAACCTATTATCTACCAGAAATGCCCCCGTTCCAAAATCCTGTTATGGTCTTTCAACAAACAGGATATTTGGAGTGATATTTGGCAAGATAACTTTGGTACTGTCCTCTTTGCTGGAGGCTCTGACATGAAGCGATGCCCTGCCTCTTATCAAGATGGCTACCTTTACACAGACACAGTGCAAAACAAGTCAGTCATGTGAAAATGGGGTCAGTATTCTCTGGAGGCTACTTGCAGATGGTCACTATTCTTTTTCCAACTATCTGACTTTTTTCAGCACTGTTTCCAGAGTTTAGTTCCCTTTTTTAAAGGACTTCCTGGTAACCCCTTCCTCCTTTTTGTCAACACATGTAATTAGTTAATGGTGTTCTAAATGAGTAATATACTTAAAAGGCTTCAGCACTCTATGAAGCTTGATGAAAAGCCTTTCGGAGCCTTCTGAAAGTGTGATCAAATTAAAATTATGGGGTAATTACAAGGTCCTGAAGACCTGAGTGGCAACATGATGGAGGCAAGTCAGAAAGCCTAGAGTGAGCTATGATGTCACCCCCTCGGTCATGAGGCAGTGTTCTGGCCTAGCAATTTGCTGCTAGGCCAAGTGCTGCATCATATAGAAGTCAGCCACATGCTAGAGTAACCTTTATGAAAATTTGAAAGATACTGTCACAAAAATGGTAAAATTCAATAAAGCTTTTTTACCTGTAACAAGGTTTTTCTTACTGCTTTTGTCCACAAATACAGCTCTGATCCTGAGAAATTGTCCCCTGAAGTCCGCTGTGAAATGGACTTTTACAGGAGCATCCATCTCTTGGGTCCCATGCATTCCTTACTCACCCCCTCCTGACTTCAGCTTCAGAGCAGTACTCTGTAGTGATGCGGAGGTCAGTGGGATGAACCCGTGAGAGCATGTGTGGGACACAATCCCAACATCTCTGGGAGTATTTCTCTGGATTGGATCTGTGTTTGGCTGCTGAAAAGGTAACATCATTTTAACTATTTGTTTTCCTACTGGGTCAGGTTGCCATTTTTAAAGGTTTACTTAAAATCTGGAATTTTCAATCTGGGTTAAAATGTTATAAATTGAAATCTTCAGTTTATTTACAGTTTAGAAGATGCTCCAGGTTTGAACCAAGCATTGTGTATAGAGTTTACTTTTGGTAAATGGCATGGTCCTGTTATTTTCCTGGGTGAATGCAGGGGAACAAGTGTCTCATAGTTTATCCGCTATACCTGATGGGGTGTTAAACGGAGTAATGATATATATCAGACACTTGTTCCCCTGTGTGTGTGTGTATATGTATGTATATGTATGTATGTATATGTATATATATATATATGTATGTATGTGTATGTGTATGTGTGTATAATTTTCATATTCATCCACCAATTATTTGTTGATTCAACGTTGATTCTTACCCAGACGTTGTGTCCACTAAGCAGGAATGTTATTATTGGGGTTTTTTTTCACTGGCATCTCCTTTTGCTATATTTGTGCTTATATTGCGGCGGCCGCTGGAATGTTAGCTTGTTTTTTTATTTACATCCTGTCATGCCTGAATCTGGCATTAATTGTATATCTTGGAATGTAAGGGGGTTGGGTGATTTGGTGAAAAGGCGTGCAATCTTTCATTATCTACTCGTACATAAACCCTCTTTCATCTGTCTACAGGAGATGCATACTAGTAAAGAAACATGTAAAGTGGTGGAGCGTAAGTTCTGCCAGCAATCATTTCGTTCCTCTTTATCCACTTATGCAAGAGGTGTTTCTATAATCATTCACAAAAAATTGCCTTTTTCTTGTATACAGACGAAAATTGATGGTCATGGACATTTTGTATTCCTTCATTGTCGTATATACAATATGGAGTGTGTGGTTGCTAACATTTATATTTCACCGCCGTACTCTAATGATTCACTTCTAGAATTGGCCCGTTTTTTGAGGATAAACGCCCACTTCCAATATTGGTCATGGGGAATTTTAATAACTGTATGAACTAGTGTAGAGAGAGATTTCCATCTTGTCTTACTTCAGCAGTTACCAGTTTGCCAAGTTGCGCCTGGAAATGGGTCTGGCAGAAATTTGGGGCCTTCTTCATTTAGCCGAGCAGCAGTGAATACTCTAAAACACACAATACATTATCACGTATAGACTGTGTTGGGATCTTCAGAAATTCTACCATATGTCACTGCTGTGGAAATCCAGCCTAGATGTCTGTCAGACCATTCCATGCTCTGTTCACTTTAGGTCAACAACTCTCCTCTATACCTTGGCGTTTAAATCCCTTTTGGTTTTCACTGATGCGAGAATTGGAAGATATTTCCCTCTTTTGGTTGGTTAATGAAGGTTCTGCTTCGGGATTGGTGGTATGGGATACTCTGAAGGCCTATCTTAGATGTCTTTGCATTAAACATGTGAGTTGAATTAAGTCCGCTACTAGACAACGTGAAAGTTTAGCGAGGCAGGCAGTTGCAGATAGCAAAAAAACATTTATATCGCATCCATCTGATGTTACACAAGCTGCTTGGATCAAGGCCACTAGTCATCTTGCATCTCTTGTACATATAAGGTCACAAAGCAAATTTATTTTTTACAAAGAGTGTTTTGGGTGGACAGAGGCTTCGAGTAGGCTTCTGGCCCAGATTGCTCACTCAACAGGCCCCATCCTATACTGGGTCAATTAGAGACGCATCTGGCTATCTTTGTACAGATAATCAACATATATTGAATGTTGTTTTTTTTTTTCAAATTTATGCTTCATTATATTACCACTAAAGCAACATATTCTGATGTTAATCTAGCAAGGTATCTGTCGGGCATAATTTTGCCCACTTTATCTGCTGCAGATGCCTTGGACCTAGAGGCCCCCTATTACTATGCAGGAGATGGAGCAAGCGCTTGTTAGTTTCCCAAATAAAGCCCTGATGGGTTGCCAATAGAGGTGTATAACAACTATAAACAATCTATTCTGCCTCTCTTACTGCAAACATTTAATGGAGCACTAGACCTGGGACGCCTCCCAAATACTATGTATAAGGTCACCATTATTGTACTTCCCAAAAAACACAAAGATCTCCTCCAACCAGAATTGTATGGATTGGTGCGTGGGTACGTTTGTTATACCATACTCCCTCAGCCAAAATTAGGATTAATAACTTTTTTTTCCCCCCCTGGTTCTTGTGTACAGAGGGGCACCAGACAAGGATGTCCCGTCTCCTTTACTGTTTGCGTTGGCCATAGAACCTTTAGCTGCTATAATTAGTCTCCAAATATTATAGGCTTTAAAATAGGTTTGGAGGAAGATAAACTTGCATTATTTGCAGAGGATACCTTGCTTTTTTGGGGGACGGACACACAGTATTCTCTACGTACCGTCATGGTACATCTGTAAGATTTTGCTATATATTCTGGTCTCTTTGTTAACTGGGACAAATCTAAGCTACTTCCCATAGATCCTTTACCAAGCCCATTGTCAGCTGATCTGTCTTGTATTCCCATATGTTCCAGAATTGCCTATTTGGTTAGCCAGTTGTCGCCGCAATTACCAGATTATGCCGCACTTAACTTGATCCCATTACTAAGTAAATTTAGATCTCAACGAGATGCTTGGCTTAAATTGCCCCTTCCAGTGGCTGGGAGAGTCAATCTTATCAAAATGATCTGGATGCCACAATTATTGTACTATTTGCATAATTCCCCAATTTGGCGCCATTCTAAAATATTGACAGTATATTCAGGGACCTTATTTGCAAAAGAAAGCAGGCTCAATTGAAATTGGCTATTCTACAAAGGCCTAACGATTCGGGAGGCTTGGCCCTTGCTAATCCCTGGCTTTATTGCCTCCCAGCTACATTTTTCCAGCTGGGAGTGCGAGGCGATGCATTTACAATCGTTCCATTCTCTCCTGTATCTTTTTGATAGCTATGACCCTTTGGGCTCTCTGGAGATGGATTTGCCCTTTTAAAAAGTTCCCCCACCTTGCCACAGTCAGTTTAATGGGACGCGTATGAGAGACGACTAAACAACATTTAAACACTCCAGGTCTTGCTAAATTTACCCCGATTTGGAACAATGGTAGACTTCCAGAGCTCCTCAAGTTGCTGGGTTTCAGGAACTGGTGGCGGGCGGGGGTGTGTACAGTCGCTCAGTTATATGATAACACTCTCTGTTTCTTTCAACAATTGCAATCTCAATTAGGTACTGCTTTTTATCAATATTTGCAACTTAGACATGCTTTGACTTCCCAATTTGGTAGTGCCTCTCCAGATTTCCACTGAACACTGGTGCTGGATACCCTGGTTGCTGCTTGTAAATACTAAGAGTATTATTTCTTATGTATATATCTGTTTATTGACCAACTCCATATAACAATCCCCTTTGAGTGTGCGGAGTAAGTGGGAGAATAATCTAGGCCCCATTACAGATGGTGACTGGAGGTGAGCCGCGAGTGCTGTCCTCTCGGAGTCCTTATTCACTTCCCATAGACTTAACCAACTTTTTATTTTACACAGGACATATTGCACCCCACAGTTCCAGTTTAAAATAGGTGTTAACGATCCTTCATGTCCAAATTGTGGTTTTAACTTCCCATCTAGGATGGGAAGTTAAATCTCCAGTGGAACAAGGCAGTGAAAATGTATGTAGACAGATATGTAGATGAACATTTATAGTAATTGTATATGTAGTCATTTCATTTGGTAGAAAAAATAAGGAAGAAATGGCCAAATTTTTACTTTTCAAGCATGGCTTATCCATTTTAAAATAAATATCTTATAATGGATGATTTATTTGTTTGCTTTGTGAAGAACACCTTGTATTCTGTTAACTAGAACATTTTCAGTAAAGCTGTCTTTCCCCCCAAATAACCCCTTCCCCCACCCTTGCAGATTTATTTACCTTATGTTTACAGTGACAATTAAATGTTTTGTAATGTGCATATTTTAATGTTTTAGGGAGTAGAGGAACTGAAAGGACGGTTGTCATGGATAAGTCAAAGGGAGAGCCTGTAATTAGTGTGAAAACCTCATCTGACTCAAAGGAAAGGGTATGCATATGTAAAGGACATATTATTGCTAGTTCGAAATATGTGGTTTACTGTTCTCCCGATTCTTTCTTTTTTACGTGTGGGGTTTTGTAAAAACTACAAAATCCCTGTTTTTAATTTCTAGCTTTTAAATTAATTGCTACCAATAAGTTTTATTTTCCTTTTTATTGTAGGTGCATTTATTACATTTTTGCAAAAGGTGGACTTGTCTTTTAAAAACAAAAGCAATAGTGCCACCATGGACAGATTGTGTGTGTGTGTGTGTGTGTGTGATTTTTTTTTTTTCCTTTTAAGGTCTGTTAACTGGTTATATTTTAACAATTTTTTATTTTAGAGTTCCAAAAGTCAAGACCGAAAATCTGGGAGTAAAGAAAAGAGGGAAATACTATCTTTTGATAAAATTAAAGAGCAGAGGGAGCGTGAGCGTCAGAGACAAAGGGAGAGAGAGATAAGGGAAATGGAGAGGCAAAGGTATGTTTTACTTTACTTCTGGTTGATGCATTTTTTTTTTTATAGACAGTAGTTAAGGCAAATCTTAGGGCCTTAAGGATTCTGTCCTGACCAGATCCGTGCGCTCCTGCACTAAAAATGCATCCCTAAAAAAAGTATTCTTGCTACACTTTTCATGATGTCATCATCGGACTTCCTGGTTGTGGTGGAGCAGTAGAGGGAAAACCAGTAGGCATGAACAACATGGTCCTGGACATAGAAAGATTTGTCGGATTGATGGAGTGTGCGCCAATGCTATATGACCCTCGTCATCCACATTTCAAAAATGTGCTTAACAAAAATCAAAACTGTAGAGATAGCCAGCACCAACACCATTCCTGCAAACATGTGATACTTGTCTGATCACCAGCTTTACATACACAAAGGGAATTGGTTGTTACGAGAGGGCGGAAGTGACCTCAGAGGAAGAATCCGCGTCAAATACACACTGCATGCAGAGCACCGCATCTGTAGATCCGCAGATCAGGACGGGAAAATCGTGTGAACAAGCCCTTTAATTTTTTTTCTTTTCTTCTTCATTAAGGCCTGGTTTACACATAGGAATTTTCAAGTAGTTGAAAAAGCAAAAACGCCCGAAAAAGTACATGAGCCTCTTTGGGCACTTTTTTGCCCCATTGACGTCATTGGAAATGCACAAAAGCATGCGGCAGAAGCATGTTGCACATTTTCGTGAGCGTTTTTGCGCGTTCTTCCATTGCTCGCAATAGTTCATGAGCTGCCAGTCAAAACGTATGTCTTCATATACGCGCGTTAAAACGCGCAAATAACCGCATGCTGCCAACATAAGGCTGTACTTTTTTCCCGTGTTAGGTGGTTTTCAGCCATCATTCTACTTTCAGGGAACACACAGTTTTACCTCGGTTTGTTTGTGCTTCTGGCCCCAAATACCATCAAGGGGTAAACCTCAGTTTTTGTAATACTGTTAGACCGCTTGCCTCTCATTCCTCAGTGAAGGCCTTTGTAATGGTATAGCACTTCCTCATCCCAAGCTGTACTTGGGGGCTGCCTAGTTACAAAAAATTGCAGGATGGGGCTCAGTAGACAGGGGAGACCCTATCCAACATAGTTACATAGTATTTGAGGTTGAATAAAGACATTAGTCCATCAACTCCAACCTATTAGGATCTCATTCTAGGAGTACCTGTGCCCCTGTATATTACCTGTACCCCTGTATATTACGGTCCCTTAAGAAATCGTCCAAAGGTTTCTTGAACAATTCCACATTATTTGCTGAAATCACCGCCTGTGGCAGTGAGTTCCAGACCCTAACCGCTCTAACTGTAAAGAACCCCCTTCGCCCCTTGTGCTGGAATTTCTTTTCCACCAATTTTAGGTGGTGGCCTCTAGTTTTTGTAATGGAGTTAATTTTAAACAGTTTATCGCTAATGTTGCTACCACCATTGAACATTTTGTACATGGAGTTTATTTTTTACGTAAATGCAAACGCCCCCCCCCTTCTCCCACCTCTGTCCCTCCTAAACAGGTTATACCCCTCTATATTAGTAGCCCAGTCATGCGTGCTGTCCAGCCAGGTTTCCGCTATACCCACTATGTCGAAGTCCTCTTCAATTAGCCTAATTTCAAGCTCCTCTATTTTATTTGCCAGACTTCTAGCGTTGGTGTACAGATAATGGTTTCTTTGTCATTCCGTTACCCCCTTGTATCTCAGTTGGGGGCTGTCATTATATCTCACTTTGGTTATCCTACTAAACCCTAATGGGCAAGGTTTGGCAATTCATGAAAAATCTGATATGAAGGTTTTACACCTCTTACCCCCATTTGGTATAAATCTCTGAACCCTGAAATACCCTGAATTCCTGAAATTGTCAAACTTTGATATCTGGATATCTAAAGGTATGTGGGTTTTCCCTCAGTTGTATGATAACGTGTTCAAAACTTTTCAAATGCTTCAACAGGGGTGTGGGAATTTTGGAAAAAACTACTTGTCCAAGGACTAAAGCTGGGGCCGGATCTACTTGTCCCTCATGACAATCTACTTGTCCTGATACAAAAAAAATTATGTTAACCAAAACCGTATTTAGCAGTGTTAAGAAGCGCTTCTCATTGGTCAATGCCGTCAGGTGACCGCGTTGACCAACGAGTGCTTGCAATTTGCGAGCGAAATTCAGAATACATAGAACAGGTACAGATAGTACACCCGTACTGGTGGATGGGGAAGGACCGGTCGCCGAAAGGTACGTATAGTGGGAGGGAGATTTGTGCGGGTAATTCCATTTTCCCAAATTACTTGGGAAAGTGAATATACCCTTTAGGGTTGGTGCAGACCTGCGGATTCCCGGGACGTGCGATCGTGTGCGGTTGCATACACCGTTTGCATCCGCATGTATGGGGTTGCATCTGGGTGGCAGTCGCTGAAAAAAAAGGTACATGTACCTATTTTCACGACATGCACCGCGCAGTGTTTTCAACCGTGATCGTGCGAGATCGCCCAGTTGGTATTGCAGCAGGACAACGCGCAATCTGCCTGGCACGACTGTGGTGCCATTAGAAAATAATGGCACTGACAGTACAATCGGCGGTGGTGTGCGATTCCGTGACCACCCAGCCATCCGCTTGGTTTCGTGCACGATGACCGGTCAGTCACAGATCGCACACCAACGCCGATCGCACTGGCAGTTCCATAATTTTCTAATGGCACCCCAGTCGTGCCAGGCAGATTGCGGTGTTTTCCGAGCGGTAACACACGATCGCAGTTGAAAACACTGCGCGTTTATTCACATGCTGCGGGGCTGGTTTTCATTTTTTCAATTTTTATTAAAGGAGAACTATGAGGTGAGTGCTTTTCACTCACCTCATAGTTCTAGCCGACCTCTGACAATGAGACTGTCACAGGTCGGCTCAGTAGATTGGGAGGTGAGCGAACACATACCGACTCTCTGCCGTGACAGGGGAGGGGCTGGATTCCCCGCTCCGATCCGCCAGCGCTGACTGGCGGAACGGACGGGGGAGGGTACAGCTGGCTCTGCCTCTAGATAGGCAGAGCCAGCTGTCAGTCACGCAGCTGGACGGTTCTAGACATAATTGTCGGGATCCGCTTCAGCTGCGGCGTCTTAGTATACCGCGAGCAGCAGGTCGCGGTATACTGCGGCATCTCAGTATAGCTCGCGGTATACTGAGCTTAGGGTGAAGGGAGGATGCTAGTTTGTGTACTCCCGTTACTCTAAGGAGAACTATGGGGAAAAGCCTTAACCCCATAGTTCTCCTTTTAACTTTGTAAAATGTTTTCATTTGTTTTATTGTTTTTACTTTATCGCCTTTTTATTTTACATTTTTATTTAGTTACATTTTTAACTATTTATTACTTTTTTAAACTTTTTTTTTTTAACTTAAACTAGTGCTATCACACTGTGATAGCTTTTGGAGGTGACATGTTCTCTTTATTGACCCTGTCACCTCCAACACAGAGTTGTAGCACAGCACCGTGCTAGAACTCCTGTGACAGAAACGAGCAGCGGCTGCCAGAGACGGAGGCTGAGGGACGTGACGGAGCCTGTCACTGCTCCATCACTACTCCACCCCAGCCCCCCACTCTAAGCGTTCCGGCCCCGCCCGCCGCTCTCAGTGCTCCACGCTCCAGCCCCGCTGCACGCTCCAGCCACGCTCTCGGCACTCCACGCCCCCCGCTCGCATCGCAGCTCTCGGCGCTCGTTTAAAAAAAAGTAAAACCAGCCCTGCTACTTGTCCGTAGCAGGGCTAAACCAGTGAGAAAACCACTTGCCCGGAGATTGGAGACCTGCACCAGTGCTGGAGGGACAGCTGAAAACGACAGTAAAGAAGAAGATGATCGACTCTAGTAGCATCATTTACGGTAAGTCCCTACAGCAGGATTGGGAAGGGGCCAGGACTTTAATGTCACTTTAAGGTTTGTTTATTAAGCCTTGTTGGTGATCTTTACCCTTCAAGTGTTCTTAGTCCCATTATATGACTATTTTGAGGAAGCTGATTGCTTTTAAATGGCATTCCCCTAACCCACCTACCTTTTTAGAGGACTGGTGTGTTCACAAAAATTTTTGTAACTGTGCGATCCATAACTGTCAGTGCCTGGTGTAGCAACACCTGCCTTGCTCTTACAGACCATATTTGGTTAAAGGGCCCTTTGAGAGTGGGGATGGCATGTTATTGGTGCTTTATTTTCTTTTCGGTATCCAGGATATTGAGGTTGACATTTTTCTTTTCAATTTAGTTTTTTTCAAACTTGTTGACCCATTGTGATACTGACAGTAGCTTGGGTGGGATAGGTGTGTTTTTTTAAATACTTGGTTACCTTTCTAATATCAAACTTTAAAAAACATTTCATTCCTTTGCGTTGTCTAATTACGGAGTCATCCTACCCTTTGCTGACTGTTGCTTACATTACACAAATCACCTGTTGTATTACATGTATTTTTTTTCATGTATATTGTATGGGGTTTGTCTTTTCCAATCATGTCGTCCTTGTAATGCAGATTTTTTTTTTTTGTTGCTTTGCAATGTTGTGTAGGATGCAGTCTCCTAGTTCTTGGTTTTTCTTTTTTCTTTGTGTTTTCCTGTAACAAAACATTTAAAATCTAATAAAAGCATTTGACAAAAAAAGGCCTCTGGAGAAGGTGCCACGCATATAAATAGTTCACCTGTACAACCTTCAGTGACTCATTGAAGTCTCAACATTGTTCTGTCAGCTCTTCAGAGACCCCACTTTGAACTTAACAGGGATGTTCCCCTGTCAACCCTTGTAAGGTTGCCTTCCTAATCACCGTCACCTCTGTTTGACTTAGTGGCTTTTATGCAAGGAACCTTTTCTTATTGTTTACAAAGACAAGGTTGTCTTGAGGCCCAGACTCTCCCTGTCCAACACCAGTGCATCCCAAACAGATCTCCCTTCATTGTTTGAATGTGGTGAGAGCTGTTTATTATACAGCCACGTTATTATACTTCAACCTGGTCCTCGTTACACCATTTCT